ACCATCAACTAAATTATCAGCTGCTGTTGTAAACCCTTTGTCAACGATTACATTTTATATATACAATAGTTCTATGAAAATCGTAATTAGTTAAAAACCCAAACACCTGCCACTTTCACGACATATGTCATGTATAAACCGCACACACGTTATCAAGTATTAACTTACATCGAATAAATTCGCAGTTAATTTGGTACCAATTTATTGTACAACGTAAAATAATTCCACGATTCTATCTGTCTATAATTCACAACGTTCACATACGAACAAGGCAAACCTATCACGATTCAACACCTCGCCCATCCTACAGTTAGTAATCACAATACTTCTAAACATTTCTAGAGAACAATAGCCAAAGAATAAGCTTTTGTTCAAGTTTGTCAGAGGTTATTCTCACAAGTGGATATCCTGCGGGTTATTATGAAATTATTGATTGTTTGTCTTAGCGCAAAGCTACAGAATAGGCTAACTGCGCTTTGTCCACCATGGGGAATCGAACTTCGAATTTTAGTGTTGTAAGTCTATAAACTTATAGCTAACCCACTGGTGGACGTTATTATCAACGTTCGTGAATTGAATTGCCTTTACTTCTGTTTTAAAAGCAACGCTGATAACATTGGTGTTTATGTACTTACTAACAGATACCTGCAAAACATTTGCGGCCAAATTAGTATCTTTATTGCAACAGTACTTGTTTAAATACAGGATTTCTAGAGTAATACAGAAAAGTTCTAATCAGTAAGTCCACTTCTCTTAGTCCTAACATTAGTTAAGCCTTTATTAAGTACGGCCTATATTCGATAAAGAGATAAATTAACACTGTAACTTGTGTACGTTTTTTGCTTTAGTTCAGTTAGGGCTAAACTTTACCGCACTTAATACTATCGATAAATACTATTGTACGACCTAACGTTAAACCTTTTTAAAAACTTTTATAAGCTTTTAATGTGTTGTATAAAATGTATATTTACGTCCTTTCTGGCGTAACTCAACGATATAACAAAGATGCGTTTTCAAATTGCACAAAGGTGCAATTGTTTGTACATTGTAGTCCAAATATATCTTGAATTTTCGATCAATCGTAGACTCCTCGCTTCTAACTGACAAAAAGTCAAACTACTTAAATTACGTAATAAGTTGCTATGACATCAGTGCGTAACCGAGTCGAGATAGACGGACAGATACACACTGTGTTTTATAGTATTAGAAGATTACCATAAGAAGTGAAAGCAAGGTTACTCAATCAGATACATGGAAAAAATGTAACATCTGGAGAAGAAGAACTTTGTTCATCACTAATAAAATCAGATTAGTCTGAACTATTGTAATTTCACAATTAACATACGGAGGTGACACTTGGGTATTGAACGTTGAGACAACAATGTCCCCGTAATCGCGGTTGGACAAGGAGTGTAGCATGATAAAACTGTTACACCGATTAATTTGTCCTTCTGAGAATAGTAGCATTAAGTTTCAGCACGTCCATAACTGGCTAATAAATGTTATTTCATTTTGGATAAATCACCTGTGGTTCTTAATACGTACGCGAAACTAGAGAAAGAAAAAAATAAAGATTTGGCAGCTTTAAGTGGTTTCATAGGCCTGATCCAAGCATGTCAGTGATGTTGTAGTCTTTAAGAGCGAAAACAACTTTCGACAGAAATCCGGTCTTCTTCAGTCAAGGTATGCATGATGCAAGAAGAGACTGAAAATAGTACCAACTGCATGTACACGTAAGTACCACGTTCCAATAGCATTACCGGTGCGTGGCACAATGTTTGTTTGGGTAAACCAAATCAAATCTTCTCGAGAAGGTGGAAATAGGAAACACGCAAGTCATGTCAAGGTTTGGAGATTGAACATAAGAATTCTTTTCTGTACGTTTTTATTTTATTTTTCTGATATTTATTTTTACAAAAAGTTTTAAAGATATTAAACGTAAAAACTTCGTTTCTCTCCTAAAGCATGCAATAAGTTACACACTTTGAACTTACGAGGATCATGAATAATTTATCAGCAGTTTCAGACTATTCTTTGCTCAACCGCTGCATGAGTTCATTCAATATCTTATTCGATTCTCAGATCTCACACATATAGGGCATCATGTATTATTATTACCCTTTCATAATAAGAACAAAAAATGAATTTTATCTCCAGGATAAATAACAACTACTCTCTTACGTAAACAATGCTATCATTTATCAAATCAACAATGCGACGTATATGTGAACAATGCTGTCATTCATCAATGCAACAATGTGACTTATATATGAACAAAGCTGTATATGCACTTTGCGTCAACTGTAACACACATGAATGTCCGTATATGTACATACGCAGCTCCAATACGGTGTTTTCATAAGGGTTTATAACCAGTTATATCATACATTATATACAGAGAATATGTAAAGCATTTCTGAGCAACTATCTATTTGTCAATAATGAAACAATAGTTCAGTATTTTATCAATAGAAATGGTTTTGTCAGCTTCTTTGTTTGTTTCAGAATTTCTTATTAAACTTCATAATGGCTATCTACGCATAACTCCATAATTTTGAATTGTCAACACATTGATCGAAAGTGGAGTTGGACCGTCATTCTTACAATGAACCAGAAGTCTTCGGATTTACACCACGCGCTAACTATTAGGCCACGCCTGGTCCGGTTTTATCATTGTTTACTCGATTAACTCTTTAAACCCATTATTTTTGGCGCCTTCTGCCGGAATTATTTTCATGATGTCCCAGTAATTATCACCATACCTTATAAAATTTCCGGTCTATTTATAAAAGATGGATAAAAACATGATTTGGATTAATTTTCAGTCAACGAGACTTAAATGTAACCAGACGCTGTCACCGCGCTTGTGTAAATTGGGGTTTTCGGCCGGACGCTATTAGTGTCCGTTCGGGTTTAAGGAGTTAAAAAATGTCAAGATATGCTAGAACAAATTGACATAAAAACAACAACAAGACATTTATTTGATTTTTCGAAACATAAAAACAACAATAAAATCTTTGTAGTTCCATTTTTTTTTGACAGAAAAACGAGCGATATTACTCCACTCATAGTAGTGCGTTATGGAAGACCAAGCACGCTGGAAAGCGTAAATCAATCACCAGTTTTCAATATATATATATAGATATCGAGGACGCCGTTTCTAAACAACTAGCTCATTTTAGCAACAAAAATGGTACTACAAGTGAAAAATTGAACATTAAACGTCGAATCTTCATCGTAACAGTAACGAATCTAGGACTTTATGTTTGTCAGCTTTCTGATCTTTTTTTACCAAATTTCAATTCACAAACTAAATCATACTGCTAAATAATTGGAAGAATAGTAGAAATATATTTTTTAATACAACTTGCTGAAAGAGTTTTAGCTTTCTTAGAACATCACTTCAATTTACATTTTACAAGACTCCCTGCTGGGTCAGTGGCTTGAGGGCTTGTAATGCTGAAATTCGGGGTTCAATACTAGCGGTGGCCACAGGACAACAAGAGCATTGTGGATATTTCCACAAATAAACAAATATTTTTATAGGTTGACATTCAAACAAATATAGGTCGTTGAAACTTAGTCAAATTTTGAAACATAGTGTTGAAAGTGAATATAATACACAAGAAACGTGCTACGTCATATGAACAGTTTTAGACACTCGTAATGAAAAGAAAGTTTATGAATAAAGCTTAGCTAAAATCTCAAAACATAGTGTTGAAAGTGAACGCAATACACAAGAAACATCTTACGTCATATGAACAGTTTTTAGACACCCGTAAAGAAAAGAAAGCTTTTGGATACCGGTAAAGTACAGTTATTTATTTCACACAGGTAATTTAAAGAAAATAAGAGTACCGACAGTTTACACCACAGATGCACTTTCAGGCATTGTTTTTATTTTAATAAAGTTCATCTATAGGAAGGATGAGTTTATGAAAACATTTTAATGTGTCCATTCCTGCGGCAAATACTCTCACCACACATCCGGAGAGCTAAGGTGTTTATACTTCAATGTAGTTTACACAAGAGAGAGGGCGCCACAAGTCGACGCTATTTTGATGGAAACAAAAGTAAAATAGCTTTCCAACTTGCGCAACTCCTCTGACCTTCTACAAAGGTGCACAAACAAAGTATTAACAAATAAAAAAGATAAGATAATAATATTTATATTTAATTTGCATACACTTGCGTTCAGATGTCTGTTAGTCGTGAAAGTTGACATTTATTTTTTTTAAACTAAGTAATATCTGCTGCTACTTGAAAATGACTGGAAACACTGATATTCAATCACTAACACTTTATAAAACACAGTCTCTTTGTAAATATAATTCTTAAATGTTTCTATAGCAACATAAGAACTGTAACATGTGTTTTTGTTTCTTTCAAATGTTTTGTGCAAAGCTGCACAGGGACTGTCTGGGCATAGTCTCCCTTCATTCTATAGAGAAGGCAGTAAACAGCGCCCACCACCCACTCTTTGGCTGCTCTTGTAGTAGGATCTGACCGCCACTCTTATAGTGCACCCACGAACATCAAGTGTATTTCATTGTTGCCGTAACGGTAAACAGAAATTTTTTACTAAAGGTACGTGCTCATTATATCTGTGCCCCAGGAATGCTGATGTTCGTGTTGTCATATAAAAAATAATAATGTTTTTATATTAGGTTGTCCTTGCATTTTACGTATAGTTCAAATTTTATCATATTTTTCACTCAATTATTATTATTATTGATTTACTCAACAACAACTTTCCTTTTTAGGTAAAATTTAGAAATAGCCGGAATTTATATTTTAAACATAAGAACCGAAGCGCCGGTCCATCCGCCCACGGATTCACGTGCCTGATACACTTAGCACTTTTAATGTTTTGTGCCCACTATGTATAGCTCTTAGAACTCATTGATGCTCGAGCGATATCGCTGAATGGGTACAGCAAAAAGTGACGTCATCAGTGTATAAACGACTGTCACTATGAAGGTTGTGCGCGAGCAGCAGATACACGTGTTGGGGCTGAATATAAAGGCCTAGTCGACAAGCTCTTTTCAGTGGTGCGGACGAGTTATATGAGAGAAGACGAAAAAGTGCTTGACTATCTTATTCGTTATTCGCTGTTTTCGGTTTGAATTAGTTCAACGTGATTCGCTTTACATTCGAAGCTTTCTAATCTGACGTTTGCTTTGACTCCCATATATGGTCATATAGATTCAGAATTTGTCCAAGGAAAGAGAACAGCTTCTGAGCTTTTACGTGGACACTTTTAAATAAAACTGTAGACTTTAAAAGTTCCAGAAGTAACAGCGAACACTATAATTAAAGGATCAGACGTCAACCGATATTGGTAAGCGTTTCATTTGATATTATAGCTCGTTTTAAAAGTGTGTTAACAAAATATCAACTGTTGGCACTATACTTGATTTTGATTAGAATTACTACATAAATAATTATTTTAGAATTAATATATACTTCTGTTCTTACAACATACTAGCATCTTATGATATTTCATTTGAGTATTCTCCTGTGTACTCTCACGTTCTAAACTGAGCTCGTAGTTTTTACGAACAAAATAATACACGGAGATATAACCAAAGGTTGAATGTGAAGTTAGTGATTATACTAGACTACTAGTAAAATAATAATGTTTCAGTAGTGACACGCGGAAACAGGGTGAAGATAATACACAGAATTGGGATATGTTCCACGAATGGATATAACTCCACAGTTAGTATACTGATACACTAGAGAACAAGGACAGGAGTGCTGGGAAGAGGAATATTGTTAAAGAGATGGTTTGATGGAAAGACGTCAGTCCAACGCCGATGCGTTGAAAAGAGATCAGTCCAACGCCGGTGCGTTGGAAAAACATCAGTCCAGCGTGTAAAGACACCAGTCCAGCGCTGGTGAGTTGGAAAGACAGCAGTCTAGCGCTGGGGATGATAAAAAAAAAGGTATTGATTTAGTGTTAATGTAAATCATAGTACATTGTCATGGTACAAGTTTAGAGTATTAATAGACCAGTGTTTTAAAGATAAAGCACACTTTTATTATATCAAAGATCGAGCGGGTTCACTTCCAGGTAGTTCCTTGCAACACATTAGAGTGAGAAGACACAAGTCGAAATCAAAATTTTCATTAGTTTGGCATTTTCAACCTTGGCGCCACTTTATGCCACACATGGATAAATAGCCAAGTCGCCAGGCCATAAACTAAATATCAACTGCTGACTAGAAGAAGGGCGACCAGCTTGCAGCACTAAATATCTACACGGTTACTATTAACCAAAGAGCGGAAATTACTGTCACTTTTATAATGCATTCAAGAGGGTTCAGGCATATTGCGAGCTCGAACCTTGGATCTTATGATTAGAAGCCCGGTACACTATTCATTCACTGAATCATACCCCATCCCCAGAATCCAGGTTAACTGTAAAAATACGCTGCCATGACAACTTACGAAACACTCGTATTCAGCTGAGAAGGTAACATACAGGGGTCATTATGTGAACCTCACAAAATCAAATATTTTTACATATAGAAACGGACGTCAATTTGTTTTTAGTAAAGTCTGTCCAAGATTCGATCCCTTGGTGGGCACAGCGCAGATAGCCCGCTGTGCGTGTTTGCCCATAAACAAACAAACTAGTACAATTGCACAGGTACGATAAAAACTGTATGTGTTTATGTGTATATATATATATATATATATTGCACAGGTACGATAAAAACTATGTTTTTGTGTATATATATTGCACAGGTACGATAAAAACTGTATGTGTTTATGTGTATATATATATATATATTGCACAGGTACGATAAAAACTGTATGTGTTTATGTGTATATATATATATTGCACAGGTACGATAAAAACTATGTTTTTGTGTATATATATATAAGTTTATAAATAAATATCGTAGTGGGGTTTGGATGTCAGTCTTTAAAAATAAGAATTTAAAATAAATTATAATAGTTAAAGCACTTTAGTAGGGGTGGCCTTTGGCTTCACTGCACCAACAGGTTCAGCCTACAGAAGATGCAGGGGCCTTTTTTCTCGCTCCTAATAAAGAGGAGACTCACCATTTAAGAGTTCACGCCCCCTTGAGTTAGCTTTTCTCTTTACCAAGTGAGGTTTTATGTTTTCTTGTTGTTGTTGTTTGTCATTTTAGAAATTGATTTTAAAGTATAAGAACAAAAGATTATATTTCAAGGTTCGCAAAGTTTATTATGTTCAACATACCCAGGATTTTCTGTATGATTGACCGTAGGGGCTATACTTCAACCGATTAAGATTGGCTTGATTAATGCTATAAAAACATGTTGGGGCAACGTCATAGAATGTTTTTTAATTGGATGAATTAGCAAGAATTCATGGAGAGCAATTAATGATGAAATAGCACGTTTCACTGGTATGTATAAATTCTCATATATTTTTTTCGTGACGTCATGAGCTCAAGGTTGACGGACGAGTGCCACAGGTAATGTCTGTTGTATGGCCGACGTTGAACTTGTAAAACCTGCTCTAGTTGGTTTAATATATCTTTCTCAAGGGTTGAGTTTATGAAATCGTGTTGATGGTTCATGCTATTTACGGACGATGACACCTGCGATTAGAAGCTGGCATGTGGCCTGTAATCCTTGTAAGAAGCGGTTTCTCCGATATCGAGAGCGTAGACGCTGCAAGTAACGCGCAGTTTAGTTGTGTACTGAAGTCGTGGTTTCTTTGACAGATATAATTGACACGTTACTCCAAGACGTGGTTTCTTTGACAGATAATTGACACGTTATACGCAAGCGCAGTTTCTCCAACGATGGGCTTTGAACTAATAGGTGGATTGGCGTTCAAGGACCAGTCCGGGCAATATCACATGCTGCATACTGGCTAAACAATTAAAACTTAAATTCAATTTCTAAAAATGCATCAAATGCTCCTGCCCACGGGACAGTTGTCCGGTATCCAGGTGGGCCGATCCACCTATGTTTACTTTACAGCGGTACATAATATTGTTATAGACACTGAAAAAAAGAAGCATAACGTATTTGAACGAAAGCGTAAGGTTTCGTTTTTTATCACTGTATGTATACCTCATTATAAATATGCTATTGTAGACATGTGAAACTTTTTTCTTTAGCGTTTGCAATACACTATAACTAACGTACAACACCAAAAACTGTAAATGTTAGCGACAGTCTTTAACACTGAACGAAGAAATGCCTATGAAAATTAGCTATTTTTTGTACACACTGTCCTACGCGATTTCTCTGAATGCGAGCGACATAATTCTGTAAACGCTGTACGACGCGCTTTATTCAAATATCAGCGACATAATATTGTTAACACTGTATGACGCAGTCTATTCAAGTACTAGCATCTTTATTGTAACAGTACTTCTTTAAATACAGGATTTCTAGAGTAATACAAACAAATTCTAATCGTAGACACTGAAATCTGTAAGTCCGCTTGTCTTAGTCCTAACATTCGGCTTATATTCGATAAAGAGATAAATTAACACTGTAACTTGTGTACGTTTTTTGCTTTAGTTCAGTTAGGGCTAAACTTTACCGCACTTAATACTATCGATAAATAATATTCTAATATTATTGTACGACCTAACGTTAGATCTTTTTTAAAACTTTGATAAGCTTTTAATATGTTTTATAAAATGTATATTTACGTCCTTTCTGGCGTAACTCAACGATATAACAAAGATGCGTTTTCAAATTGCAAAAAGGTGCAATTGTTTGTACATTGTAGTCCAAATATATCTTTAATTTTCGATCAATCGTAGACTCCTCGCTTCTAATTGACAAAAAGTCAAACTACTTAAATTACGTAATAAGTTGCTATGACATCAGTGCGTAACCGAGTCGAGACAGACGGACTGTGTTTTATAGTATTAGAAGATTACCATAAGAAGTGAAAGCAAGGTTACTCAATCAGATACATGGAAAAAAATGTAACATCTGGAGAAGAAGAACTTTGTTCATCACTAATAAAATGAGATTAGTCTGAACTATTGTAATTTCACAATTAACATACGGAGGTGACACTTGGGTATTGAACGTTGAGACAACAATGTCCCCGTAATCGCGGTTGGACAAGGAGTGTAGCATGATAAAACTGTTACACCGATTAATTTGTCCTTCTGAGAATAGTAGCATTAAGTTTCAGCACTTCCATAACTGGCTGA